CAGATAAACTCAGGAAACTATATCCTCATGTGCATTATGGTATATCAGCCATAAACACATTCCAAGCCTAACCTTCAGGATAGTCATCTCACTTCCGTCTGTCTCTCCTCCTGTCGATGTCCATCTAGGTGTCTTCCACGCTGTAATTAAAAAAAAACTGATGACGTTACACAACCTATCGCTGCCGTTTTTGAGTTAAAGTTTCAATGTTGGTTACAACGGTAAAACAGGGTTTATCCATTAAAAAATGCAACGTAAAACAAACACTAACAAAATGAATTCAATCTCAAATAACTAGGCTACAACTTCAGAGGATTGAGGTCCACATTTTTAACGTTTAGAGTGAGCATCCTGGAATTATGACAGGCAATTTGTTCCCAAAGTATCAGGGATAACAGATATACATCATATCCACAACATACCTCCATCAACATCAGCTTGTCTGCCTCTGCCGACTTCGGCATGTCTGCCGACCTCAGCAAATCTACCTCTGCCGACATCAGCATGACTTGTGCATTTGTGACTATCTCTGCCTGCAACAAAGGTAACATAAAGTTTTAGGAGGAGATTAGTGTTTCATTGGAATGTCTGCATAATCAACAGTTCTTTACAAATTACTTTAAGCATCAAAGTCCACTGCAAAGTTTCTGTGCAAAACGATACATGATTTGTTGGGTTCACCACTAAGTGACATACCATCCATAGAGTTTGTACACATGATACGTCAGTTTGTGGTGCGGAAACTATCCGGAATACGTCACTTCCTGCTGAGACCAACGTATACAGGAGGGAATGTGGTACCCAATATGGATTCCTTTTGTAGAACTTGTTTTTACTTTTTTAAAGTGGGTAAAGAGTGTTTGGAGAAATATGATGCAAAAGAAAGAGAAAGTCAAAAAAGGTCCAATAAACTAAATCTGACGGCCATGTGAAATTCGTGGCTTTAAGCTTGTATGCCAATTAGCAAGGTCAATTATAAATGATTCATCTGATGGAAATATTCAATAAAACTGAAAATGCAAATAAAGTTGCCCATTCATCTCTTGGTTTTCAGCTGCTGTTTTTGCAGTTGTGTTTCAAAACAGAATGGAAACCCACATCCACATACATCCCCGATCCATCCCACATTCAAAGGCTCACACCAAGAGGAAGTCATTTTTCAATTTTATGTTCACTATTAAATCATACTATACAAAATTCAAAGAAGCTACGGATTGTAACTTCTTCATTTTACCAGAAAACCACTTGATGGTATTATTTACAATATTTCTATTGCAATGCCCTCCAATACAGGCCGTAGAGAGCAATCAAGTTTGTGTTTGACACATCACAAATGTTCACAGACTTCACAAACATCGTGTATGAAATAACAATTATTTTCCCAAATGCAGAGCTTCTTCTGAAATTAAACAAGAAATCTCGCTCACCTTAAATGTGAAATCTGCAGGGCGTCTAAAACTGCTGTTTGATGACATGACAGAGATGATCAACTGCACTGTTCTGGAAGCCAATGATGTTTGNTCCCTCAATAGCTAGCAAACTATGAGAAGCCACACAATACCTGCATTTGAAACTGGGTGAGTCAAATCAAGGGTGTAACAAAAATGTCAAAGTATTCTTTTATTCAAGCATACTAAACTTAGCCTGTCAGGGTGAGACTTTAATAAAAGACTGAGAGATTATGTAGACAGAATATGTAAAATGCAAAACAGAAAAAAAGTAATGCATGTCAATCAAAAAACATGCAGTTGTCTTCTGCACTTTCAATGGACAGCTCAGAAAAGGACAGAAAATTTTAAAAATTTAAAGCTTTTCTAGATTTTTTAGTTCACTGGTTTTTCCAAAGTTGATACCAAAAAGCCTATTTCAATATAAAATCCATACAACTTCATACAAAAATTTTAAAAAGGCAAATAGATTTCAACTGAATTCAGAAAAGGATGGGTTCTTGAATATGAAATGGCTACCCACAAGGTTCTTGGGAAATTATTATTATTTATTTCTGATAATGATATCAAGGATTCCTCAAAAGTACCCTTGGCACTGTAGCTCGCAAGCCTGAAGAAACGTGCTGTGAGGACGCAATGAGAAGCAGTTACAGTTTTAGAAGTGGGAAGAAAACACCAGAGGAATATTCTGGGTAGAACCCATGGAATCAGGTAGGGACTGAAAACTCAATCCACATGTGGACCGAGCCGAAAATAAAGTATTCTTTTGGATTTCAGGTTCAAATAGCAATTTCAAGCGTAGGTTATAACTTTTATGACAACGCTTTGGGCAATGCATAATGTGGAAAGCTTTGATTTAGTAAATACACTACTCACATTCACGAGATGCAACACTGGCACAGAAAGGACCACTGCAGAAAAGTAGCACTAGGAACTGGTATCAATGGCATCAAGAGACAGGTAACACACATAGGATGGTTGGGCATCTACACCGGGGCTGCATCAAGTCCTCATGGAGAAACAACATAACAGCACCATCCATGGAGCGGTGATGTTGGTAGGAAAATGTCCACAAATGGCTAGAGCATCAGCGACGAGACACAATACTGTACAAACATACTATTTAACATGCACAAAGTAAACCTACATTTTTGCAAAGGACACAATTTTTAGTGGACGGGGGTTAGGAGAGACTTTAAGAGCAACATTTTTAGTTGACGGGGGGGTTAGGAGCGACTTTAAGGGCAACATTTTTAGTGGATGGGGGTTAGGAGCGACTTTAAGGGCAACATTTTTAGTGGACGGGGGGTTAGGAGAGACTTTAAGAGCAACATTTTTAGTGGATGGGGGTTAGGAGCGACTTTAAGGGCAACATTTTTAGTGGACGGGGGGTTAGGAGCGACTTTAACGGCAAATAAGTTCTCTTTTTTTTCTTTACTCACTCGGTAAAAACGTGGGGTGCTACATAAAGAAAACTGTATATACAGTACATGTAGAATCTTAACAGTTTAAGCTCAATTTAAAGTGGTGATGCTGATGTCCATTCTTCGGAGGGGAAAGAAGCTGAACGCCTCCCAACACATCTCGTATTTTTCCCAACCTGTGGTCAACAGAAGAAAATACGTATAAAATCACAATATATTTCAGGAGTTAACAAGCCTTCTGGGTTTCAAAGTAATTGGCATACAGTGCATCCTTTAGAAGTTCATAAATTGTAAAGGAGATCCAACAAGCTTCTATTGAACTTTCATTGGCTTTACATTGAAGAGAATCTACCTCCCCACTGACGAGTGAATCCAGAAAGCTGGAATAAACAATACTGATACATTTGGCAAACTGTTGGAATGAAGACAGTACGTAAACTGCATTGATTTTGTAATATTAGCCATGCTCAGTTCATAGTATTTTCTACCTGGTTTTTTATAAATAGTGACTGTTAGAATACATGTATTCACGGATAGCCCTGTCAAAAATATCTGCTATGGACTACATTCCAGAGTGCTGAGGGAAGCACAGTGCATTCTAAACAAGCAGTTTTGCGAGTTTGTAAGTTGAAGAAGAAGGAAGTTATGCATCAAGACAATGCATCATAAGACAGTGATGCACGATAAATTAAATTTGAAATAACTAGGCTGCAACTAGGGGACTGACATCAATGTTTTTAACATTCGGAGTGAGCATCTTCAGTCATGGCAGGCATTTGCCCCAAAAATATCTGAGATGGCAGATCATTATAAAACATTGTACCAACATCATACCTCAACCAACATCAGGCTGTCTACCTCTGCCGACTTTAGCACGTCTACCTCAGGTGATGTCAGCACGTCATTTGTGACTATCCATGCCTGCAGCAAAGGTAAAATAAGTTTCAGTAGGAGATTAGTGTTTCACTAGGATATCTGCATAAACATCATTGTAATTGATATTACATCACAGATATTTACAAATTCCCTGCAAACTTTGTGCACAAAAAGATGCATAATTAAGGATGGAATAAGATACATAATGTTGATTCTTTTCATAAAAATAACTGCTTCTCAAAGAGAGATGCATGATTAGTATGGTCTCCAAGTCTTAAAGTAAAAACTTCAATTATGCCCAAATCATATACAACTTGTTTTTACTTTTTCACAGTGGTTAAAGAAGGTTTTAGAGAAAAATGAGAATGGGAAACAACTATCTCTGTAAAGCAAGTCAAAATATGGTCCAATAAACTTAATCTGAAGGCGATGTGAGATTCACATCTACCGATATAAGCTTGTATGCCAATTGGCAGGAGATCAATTTGTCCATGATTCAATTTGCCCATTTTTTCTTGGTTTTCAGCTGCTGTTTTGCTGTTTGTCAAATAAAGTCTTCGGGCGATGCAGAATCAAAACCATTATCCATCCCACATTCAAGGACTCGGAACAGGAGGAAGTAAAATTTGGGAGTTTATTATTTACATGTACATGTACTGCGCATATGGTAGAACCCTAAGAAGCCGCGGGTTGCAACTTCTTAATGTTACCAGATGACCACTTGATGACCTTGAGGAAAAAAAAACAAGATCATCGGCTTTCAACAACACCGTAAGTGCCATAACTCGTGAAAATCAGTGATATAACATTTTTACAATATTTCTTTGGCAAGGCCCTTGCACTGCAGACCATGAAGAGCTACATGAACCAAGTTTGTGTACTACACATCGTACGTCTTCACAGACTTCACGGACATCATGTATAGATATGAAATAAAACTTCATACTTTTAGGACAAAATTTATTAAATTGGTTTCCCTTATGCGCAAAGTCATTAGCTGCAAGCTTTTCTGTTACATTCTTGTCCTTGTGTCAGAAATAAGCTGTGGAAAGCAAGCTTTCCAAACCTGTTGGAACTATACCAAACAAAAGCATCATTTGACAAGGTTTTTAAAAAGAAAATACTTGACCCAAATGCTAAACTTCTTGTGCAATTACAACAAGAAATCTTGCTCACTTTGAATATGAAATAAATATGACCTCTTAAACTGCCGTTTGACTGTAGAATTGATTAGCTTTATCTGTAATCTTCTAGAGTTCTTATTCTCTTTAATTTTTCCTCTTCTCATGTTGTATTTCAAACTGAGGTAATTGTTACCTGACATACAGAGTAAGTGTCTTGTCTGTCTAACCTTTGCATTTTGTGTGTGGTACAGTGTATTTAATAACAGTAAAAGCTGTGCTTTTTAGCGGGTACCTCCACAGCTTTTCCCCTGTATTTATATAGTGTTTGAAATTGAGATTATATGTATGCAAAACTGTGGAAATAAACAAACGATGAAATCTGGTAGATCTATGTCTTCTGTTCAGACAGTGCATGTTTCATGTTACGCTGAGTTCCTTCATTTTGATGACCTTGGCAAAGTAACTTCTAGGATCTGGTGGTAAAAGTTGTTACCTTGATCTGATTCCTACTATGTTGTTTGCTGAATGTAGGATGTTGTATTACTGTTATTACTAATATGATCAATACCTCCTTACCCACAGGTTACTTCCCCACATTATGGAAGTCTGCCGTAGTGTTTCCGTTCCTGATGCGGTGCTTGTGCTTGTAGGCCTCCAAAAATTTATTCTGTCTGTAACTTCAAAGCCTTTGGCCTCCACCTCTATAGCCTCTTGGAACTTGCTATTAAATCAATTTAGAAGGGAAGACATTTGAGCCATAACCTTACCCCTCAGAGAAGAGAGAAATGGCACTGAGAGCATTGGTCCCACAAAACTTGGTAGAAAGCATAGCAACTTGCACAAACGGATCCATGGAGAAATCAAGACATTCATTCAAGCAGTGAAATGCCACCTCCGTTGTCCCGGCAGATACTGGAGAGTCTGCTTCACATGAACATACTGGAAGGTCAGCAGATAGCTGCAGAAAACATGACACCCACATCCCTGACTGAGCTGCTGTGTCAACTTTACCGAGAAAAATCTTCCATTTAATTACTCTGACAAAAGGGGATTTCTGCGGCCAACGACCGGTAAATTGGTTTTTCAGTCCTTACCCGATACCTGATTTCTCTGGGGTTTTCCTCCCACCTTTAAAACTGCTTCTCTTGTCTCATCTCTAAAGGTTTCTTCCGGCTTGCGAGCTACAGCTCTTAGCCCACTTTTAAGGAATCTCTGACCGTATCAGTCAAAAATCATAAAAATCAGACCAATGTACCTCAAATGGCCTAGTGTCTCTTGCAGTGACTTGGTTCTGATTGCCATAACAGCGATCAATCGGAAAGATCCTTGTCTTGGGCATCAGCTGCACTGCATGTTTCTTAAAGGATCAGCAACCCGTTTTTTTCCAAAGCCAGCTCATCTGCTGATGGTATGCTGAACACTCTGCTCATGTCCAACAGTGCATTCAACCTTTGGTCAGAGGCAGAAAGAGATTGCAACATAGGAGACTCATCCTTGGACGAAACAGCTGCGGGGTGTTGGAGCATATCCACTTCCCTGAAATTTCAGTGTTCAGCAGTCAACAGGCGGTTCACAGCTGAATGGGGACATGATTGGCTGTCCAAATTCAAACCCAAATCATCAGAAGGATAAACTGATACAGGTTTGCCCGAGTCGGAAGGCAACTTACACGTATCTGGTGTGGAGCCAACAGTAGTGGGCTCACTGGCCAGAGTGCTCCTGTCAGTTTGGGAACCAAGGACACTTTTGTAATAGAAAACTGCTGAAAGTCTAGTTATAGTCATTTCATCCTGCCAAATCCGCAGGCAATTTCACAAAACTTTATGTAATGCCATAATGTCACTTACATGTATGTTGCATTTTATTGCCCACATTGCACAACAGTATAAGACCGATTTGGAGAAACTTAAGCTCTGTGTAAGTCCCCAACTTGCACTCCAAATTTTGGCACAACTTCTGCAATCATTTTAGGTGGTATAAGTTTTGCCGAACAAAATGAAAATAAATTATCTGACTAACTCATTGTGTTCAGTTAAAGCTCATGACTGTTGAACTTTGCAAAGCTTATACAAGAAACGTACAATGTTATTTTAGAAGATAATGAAAACCTTATTTGGCTGTGAGAGAACTTCAACATTTTATGTCAGGTGCCAATGGAGAAAAGCCAACAAAAGGAGATAATTGGTGCTGTTTGTTTGCAACAACACAAACATTCATCAAACAGCCATCATAAAAGCTGTGATTCTCTACATCCAAGAAAGTTAACATACATTAAAAATATTGTAAACTATAATGTAAGCAACTTTTTGTAAAATCAAAAGTAAGTATATTGCACAGCTACGGAACAACTTTGTGACACATGGCTTACAGGTGCACATGGTTGAAAGTTACGCTAAATTTCATGAAATCCGCTGCAGCAGTACCCATTATAAGCAGATGAAATGCAAAAATACTTTGCAATATGCAACCAATCATCTAGTTTATTTGACAAATCACTTTGGGAATTTCTAAGATGTCACCGGCTAAATTTCTAATGAACAAGAGAGATTGGCTCCAAAAGGTACATGTACATGTATGCTTGAATCGTTTGTTGCACACGGAATGAAATCAAGCCCATTCATTTCCCAAAAGCAAATGCACACGTAACTGAAAACACTGCATTTTAGGACAAGAAATGGGACTGTTGACATGAAGTCAACTTCACATTAAAAGGAATGACCCATTTTTCAGAAGTGAATGGAAATGTGAAAATGACAGGAAAAACCTACATTACCCACGGCTTCATGTGGACGTCGGCTACATGTACAAGCATAATCAGCCTTTCTGGCTTACGGAGGAAAGAACATCATTTCTAGTTGGCAACAGCAGGCTGAGTCATTCTATAAATTAGGGGTCCAATTTCTGTTGGTGTCCCTGTCACTTCGGACACATATTTTGTAAGTTCAGAACGCATTTTTAATTTCTAAGAGAAATGAATTAATGCAAATTACCTGCCAAAAATAGAGACATAGTCTGAAACCAATTTCAATGATATTTCCATGTCAAATTACACAGATGTAACAGGGACACGAAAATGTGACACTTTTTGACCCTGAATTTATAGAAGGCCTCTGCTTCAAATAAACCTGTTCACAACAGCAAATGAACAAGGTGTTCAAAATCATGGCCGGTTCAAGTTCAAAGAATTGATCAAAACACAATTTCTTTTTCCTCTGATTATTTTCCATATTATTGGTGCACATAATGAAGCAGTGAAAGAACTGCCAGTGAAAGTGCTCTCACTGGACTTATCACTGAACCTGTGATATGACAATCGCTAACAATCTTTAGGTAACTACTCCTATGGAATAGCACAAATTAGTGAATGCGACATCCACTGTTTTGGAGTTGGACTGGGTCAAGTGGCCAGCATGGAAGACTGTTTCCCAGCCAAACATACTCGCGGATGCCTCTGAACAACCACCTCAGGGCTGGAAGTGACCAAGGGGCCAACCTCCCTGGATAAAAGGGTCGCAAGTGGTCTCAAGGAGCTCACTTGTATCTCCCACATCATCCCAGGACAGACTTAGATTCCGCAGTTCAGTCACTAAAGTCACTTAATGGCCAGGCGGCTTGTAGTTTGTGTTTTGTTGGACTAATGAATTTAAAGTTGATTCTACAGCACAGAAAACAGTCACTATGTAACCATGTATGATGTCCAAAAGTGTTCACAAACATTTTATTGCCAATGGACTTCACAAAATTTGATGTATTCTTCAAATAATCCATTTTCATTATTCCTTTTTTAAGTTAATTAAAAAAAAACCTGAAATGGTCGAGACTGTTTTGTACTTTTGTACAACCAAAGAGCTAACATAAAACTGAGCCACTGGAACATCATTTTTATGAACAACCAGGCAGGAAATTGAACAAAAAGTTTCCTCAGCCTCACAATGGCTTTGCTTCATTTGATGCCATCCTGTTAGAATTTTACTCCATTGACAACACTCCACTAATAAAACATAACATTTGTACCCACAATGAACCTCTTGGGCAAGGACAATGTGATTAAGCAACCTGAAAAGAAAGAGACTCACCGATTCAACATGGACACATCGGGACCAGTTCATCCTCTTGACATCAGGATGATTGCTTGAGACATGAGTACAGGCTTGCTGTTGACTTGTGAACAGCCACCTGGGGAGAAAATACCACCAAAGACAGGTTTAGAGTTCAAATAAACAATAAGTGACATATCTTCAAGGAACAGAGGATATGCGTACAGATCCGACGACAAAACAAAACAAAACTGAAGTTTATCGAAGGACAGTTGGGCTCAATATTACCCTGAAGGAACCTTTGTGTTACACCCTAAGGCTGCTTAGCTTTGAGAGCTGGCATTTCAATGACTGAATCTCGGTAGCGCATTCAAACCTCTCTCATACTACAACTATCAATATACGCACTGCAGACGCACTCCAATTTGCCCTATTTACATTTACTTTTTAGCGTGGTTGAGCTCAACGAAGCTATTCATTCTGCCAAACGTACGTCCCCTTGTAAGGATGGCATAACAAATGACATTATCAAATACGTTCCTTAGAAAAGTCTTGCGATTTTGTTACAGATCTTTAACTTCATTTGGCATACATCGCGATGCCTGTCTACTTGGAAAGAAGCCATTCTTGTCCCCATATTAAAACCTGGGCAAAAATCTTCTGACCCAAAATCATATTGTCCAATTGCTCTCACGTCTACGTAAAGGATAATGCCTGAGGTATGTGACATGGGCAAGAATGTTGCATTCATTATTCGAACAGCATTATCCGACTTAAACTCCATCTGTGACTCCCTTATTGTCCTAGCACTCCAATGTTTTGCACGAATGGTGCGTTTCTGTTATTAAAAGGAAATTTTGAGCAGCATGTTACGTAACATGACAAAGCGGCCTACAAGCTGGGTTCAGAATGAATTATTTCCCAATAAAACAGACCACTTCTTCGGCAACAAAGAAAACTTTGTGATGTTGGGCCTACAAGAAGTTGGAACGCTCTTTACAGCTTGATTTCATTCGAGACAATTGCATGGAGCAGTTTGAGTGACTCCGATAGGGAGTTTTTCCTAATTCCATCGACCTCTCTGTCGTCCGGTAGCGATGGGACACAGGGTGATTTACTAAGTATATTAAATTCCCCCCACTCCACTCCCTTCGGCCCAAAGGAAGAGCCTCACTTTCATGACACAACTGTCGTACAGAGGAAATGCGGAAGACCCGAAGATATAAAAGAAGCCTCCCCAAAACCTTGAGAGATGCACCAAGCTGATCTGTCAAAATCAATCAGCCAATTGTGTCCGATATTTCAGACGATGAACTTGTTTGGTCGTTGAAGAACAAGATGCTGCGGGTATTTCGGGTTGTGTTGGTTAGGCAGCGCAAGAAGGCGATGCCTTCAAATGATTCAACAAGCCAAATTATGATGAAGAAATGTCAAATATGACATGAAAAAGGTAAGAATATTTACAGCATGTTTATGAACGTTGAAATGTCAATTTGTAAAACATTAGTCTGACCATCATGGTTCATTTCGTGATTGAAGACCATAGCATGAAATCTTGCAGGGTTGGAAGATAGGAAAAATGGGAAAAAGGTGACAAAAATAACTTTGTCTATTTTTTAAACAAAAAAGTCAGGAAAAATATCCCTTTTTCCATTTTTTGCGTTATTTGGAGTCAGCAGTTCTTATTCCGCATTCGCGTCATCCAAATTATACAAATATTGAGCTCAGTTAAATTAAGGTTACCAAAAATTGCAATTTATTTAAAAACAAGCGCCAATCAATTAGTACGAATTGACATGCTTGGATAAGAGTTGACCTTGGTATAAACTGATTGATTAGTAGAATTTAGAGTCCGGTTGGTTTTAAAGTTTTACATTTCAGTCAAAAGAAAGAATGACAAGTTAATGCTGATTTGTTGCGACACAACTTGTAACCCATGCACATGTATTCCTTCTTTTTTGTATATACGTGTAGGTTGGCAGACGGCACTTTGAAAAAGATCAAGTGGACATTGGATCTGTTTCGCCAGTGGCAGGCTCAGCAAAACCAGACAGCAATCAACAATCCTTCGCTGAACATCAGTCAAATCAATGTGAGACCCGAGGACATGAGTAAAGATGAGTTGAACTACTCCCTATCTCGCTTTCTGTGTGAAGTGAACAAGCAAAACTGTGAGGACTATCCCGGGCAGACCTTGCATGAACTAGAGATATGCATTCAACTGCATTTCAACAGGCTGAACCGGGCTCACAAATTCCTTCAGGACCCAGATTTCATCCAGATAATGAATACCTTGGATGGGCTGATGAAGGATAAAGCATCAGTGGGACTGGGATCCAAGCCCAAACAAGCAGAGATTATAACGATGGAGGAGGAAGCGAAGATGTGGTCTTCAGGAGTTCTCGGAAGTGGCAACCCAACTCTCATTTACCTCCTTGGGCTTAACTTTGCTCTAAGTTGGGGGGGGCAAGAACATACATGCTTACACTTATCACTGACAAAGACAGTGAAAGGAGCCTGCAGTACACAGAAGATGTATGTAAAGCCAACCAGGGAGGACTCAAACACAGGAAAATTAAGCCTAAAATTGTTGATGTCTTCGAGAACAAAATGAAACCTTGTCATCGGGTCATAAAACTACTGGTATATGTGAAATATCTGCAACACTGCCCTGAAAAGAGATCAATGAATGCATTTTACCTTAGTCCACTTGCCAAACCACGTTGTCAGGTTTGGTACACAGGACAGCAACTGGGTCGTCAAAAACTGTCTACGGTTGTTGTCTGCAACAACCGTAGACAGGTTCAGTATCGTTGCGTACAAGTGCTGCAACATGTACATGTATGTTTGAAAATGAGGTGGACGAACAACTCATTTGCGAAGTTAAGGGACATACATGTAGATCCAACATGGTGAGAAGCTACAAGAGGACGAGTGATGCCTTGAAACGCAAAGCCAACTTTGCTGTTCAAGGATTACCATTGCATGGCGATGTAACTCAATCATCTAAAAGTACGCTAGACAGCACACTGACAGAGGAGAGTAATTCCAAAAGAAATGTCTCACTTACTTTCAATTTCAGCTTCTGATTACGCGTTTTTGTGCAGTGTATCGCATGTACTTCATATGCTGCTTGAATTTTGTTAAAGTTTCAGAAGGCAATATTTTAATTGACATTACCCGCGTGTTTACATATTCAGTAAGGAATGTACGTTTACTCGAGATGTTAAGATTATTATGGTGATTTAGTGATTGATTAATCTGATTGATTATTTAATCTGTTATGAATTCTGTTAATTTGTTGTCAAAGCACTCCATTATTTTGCACTGACGTCTCTTTAGAGACAACCGCACTTTCCTCTTTCAGGTGTCTTGTCTCCAACGTGCCATTCAAGCAAAATATTGGAGCGCATAGGAAAAAAAGGGGGAGTCATGAGTGGAGTTTAACATTTGTAAATTAATGGACCGTATGGTTAACAATAGACTCACCTGGTATCTTGAAAAACACAAATTACTCAACAATTAACAATGTGGCTTTTGGAAAGGAAGGAGCACTAAAGATTTAATCTCAAATTTTGCATCAACAAAGTTTCGCTATTAAGGAAAGTACTCTTGCTGTCTTTCTTGATCTAGAAAAAGCTTATGACACCTTTTGGCCTATGGGAATAATTACGAAACTGCATACACTGGAAATTTACGGTAAAATCACTCAATGTAATTTTACGCCAGACTGGGGAGCTGATAGTAGTACTCCACTTCACCTGTATGAAATGCTCATTAAGCCTGTTCTTGAATATGGAAACGAGGCTTTCAACTCAGCTACTCCTGAATATAAAAATAAACTGAACAGTATTCAATACAAAGCACTTGAATATGTACATGTACTGGGGCACTTATGGAACATCTCTGACCAAATTACAAATAGAATGTGGAGATCCCCCTCCACACTTATGACGTACATGTACATGCCTCAGTAATTCGTGTGCAGGCCATTTCTACACCAAAGGCTGATTCAAGTTCTAGTCGGGAACTCAAAAACAAGCTGGACACTAAAGACTTAACGAAACCAGGAAACGTGGCACTATTTGAGTTTTGTGGAAAAATCGAAATTGCTCTAGATAACATATAAACAGCCGTTATTTCCAGAGGCGACACGGAGCAAGCCATCGAAGTGATTCAAGAGGCTGAACAACTGGTGGCGGAACGCAAGCAGAAAATCAAGATTGCAGATTCTAGCAAGGCGGGCTGGTCCACCGCTGGTCCAAGAAATTAATAACATTTCGGCAGACAAACAGAAGATCGCCAAATCAGCCGAGGAGGAAGCCCTCAAGGACATTGAGGCCTGGAAACGGGGAAAGAAGTGAGCCTACAATCATGACCCCGGCTATCCTCAGAATCCTGCCGATTGTCGTCATTTTTGAGGTACCTGTGTTTCCCCTTGTTTGCCCCTTGATACTTTTCTAATTCAGCCTACATGCCCGCGCGCAAGCCAGCCCTCATGGTGTACATTCTGAACAATTCTGTAATTCTAAAATGTATATACATGTATTCTGTCGCTTCTCCTTATTTAGTGACATTCTGTAAAGTAAAACAGTTTTTCATGCGTGTGAGCGAAGCAAAGTAGCATGAAAATATTGTTGTGTTTGGCAATTAGGCACGCTGGTATTACGTAAGACGGTGCCCTGCATTTCTTTCACATACCACAGCCCTTTCACTAAGTGTATAAATGCCATTCACTTTGATAGCGAAAGCACTTCAGGCCCTAGCACCCACGCTTTGTGTCCACCACCAATGCCATAGAAGTGCCTATGGTCACCAGCCCCCCTCCCCCAACCACAAGAAAGGGTTCCAATACATTACGTAGATTTATGGCATATAATTCATTTCCATGAAGATGAGATACATGTACTTTGTTTTATCTAACAGACTTGTCAGCTTTTAGTGACTGCTTCCCCTGTGAAATGCAGGGACATTGGTCAGAAGCCTGTCCATTCACTGTCATCAATGACATAATGTGGTGGTTCAAGCAAGGTACCTGATCTGTCCCTTCCTTCAGCTTCCCAGTAAGCCGTGCCCCAATTTCCCAGGTAGCAATCCCGCCCAGGCCTCTGCTACCTCGAAGCCGTCGCCAGCACAACC